CATCCCTGAGATGAAGCCTACTTGTTCATGTTTTATACTCAGTTTGCTAACTTGTTGCATTCCATTTGTTATCTTGTTGTGGATTTTGTTTTAATAAATTTTTCTCTGATCTTAATAATTTCCTTTCTTGGACTTTCTTTATATTTTGTTTGTTCTTTTTTTCTAGGATTTTGAGGTATAATATTGGGTTATTTGGGCTTGCTCTCTTTTTTTGTGATATGGGCATTCATAGCTATAAACTTACTTCCCAAGACACCTTTCATTGGGTGCCATAAGTTCTGATATTTGGTACTGGCATTATCATTTGATTGTAGGAACTAATTTCTTCTTGATTTCTTTCTGTAAATCACTGATTATTGAAGACTGTAATTTTCTTGTATTTGCATATTTTCTGGATTTTTCTGCCATTGGCTGAGTTTCATTGTACCATTATCTGATAATATGCCAGGGATAACTGTGATTCTTTTGTGTTTATTTAAGCACACTTTATGGTCTTATATGTGGTCTATTTTGGCAAAGTTATATATGCTTCTGAGAAGAATGTGTAATGTATTTTTTAGAACACTGTAGATATTTATTACAACCATTTGTTCAAAGGTTTTGTTCACTTGTGATATTTGATTTTGTCTACTTAATGTATTTGTTACAGTAGAATGTTGCAGCCCTCCCCCCCATTCTGTTGATATCTATCTTAGTTTTTATGTCCAGTAATGTTTATGAACTTGGGTGCACCGGAATTTGGTGCATGTCCAGTTTTAATTGTTATCTCTTCCTGTTGAATTGTTTCCTGAACCAATATGTAGTAGTGTTCTTTGCCTCCTTTGATCAGTTTAGGCTTGAAGTTTACTTCATCCCAAAACAGGAAAGCTCCTCCTGCTTCTTTTTGGGTTGCTGTTGCGTGAAATGTTGTTTTCCATCTTTAGAAGTAAAATTTGAAAAAATTAAAGGAAGATGCAAAGAAAGAGAAAACTAAGTAGAGGATTTTAATAAGGAGTAAAAGATAAAATTTGAGAAGTAACAAAAATAAATATATATATATATGAAAAATAAAGAAAAAATTAAGAGAGAGAAAATATTAAAAGAAAAAAATTTCCAAACCTCAAAGATTAAACAATGAAACAAATTTTAAATGGGTTCATACAAAAGTCTCATATGTTTCTCCATGTGTGGCGTCTGGCCTCTCCGTCAGCCCAGTCCTCAGTGTTTCACTGCGGTATGTAATTGGTTGTTGCAAACATGTTCATAAATGATGAGTTTTTAACATCAGTACTGAACTGATAGTTGGGGCTGGATAATTCCTTTTTAAAGGACTGATATCTGTAGCAGACATTCTCTCACAGTAATAGCTGTTGTGAGTGGCACAAGCTTTTTCTCTCTCCATAATTGGCTGTTTTATATGAGGGGTCTCACCAAAGGTTTACGTGACTCAAATGGGCATGTCAGGTGGCAGACTTGAGCAAGCACAGCTCCTTTGATGTTGCTGTTTTTGGTACCAGGGATCAAATTTGGGCCCTTGCCCTTGTGAGGCCAATGGTGGAACTACTGAGCCAAATCCCTGGCCCAAGCATAGTTCCTTTGACAAATGCCTGTCACTGTCACTGAGACTAAATCCTAATCTATGAAGTGGCAGGGCCCTGCCAAGTCAACTTCCTGCCTTGGTCAGCTCTACTTCAACTAAATTATTTCCCTTTGAATTAACTATTTGTCCTATTTAGCAACATATGCTAGCTGTCTCCCTATTTACAGTTCTGCTTGCAATACTTGTTATCACCAAGTGTCTTGCTCCCTCCTTGCTACGCTTGTTATGAATAAATGCTGGATGTCCTTGATGCCTTTGTCTTTGCTGCTCAGACAAGTTTAGATCAGCCCCAAGACCCATCTAAGTTTCTGTGTCTGTGTCTTCTGTTCTTGTCAGCTTGCATCATATTATCTCCCAAGAGATGACCTGCAGCAGGTGTGTTCGATAATGTTCCATATAAATATCCACCTGTCCAAAGTTGGGTGTGAAAAAGCCTGGTATGAAACATTCACTAACTAGCAAGGTTCTAAACAAAGATATATGCAAGCAAACAGTAGGAGAATCACTGGCCAGTCAAAATTTTCATGTGACTCAATCTTGGCAAAGGAATCAGGATAATCTTTACAGCACTCTAAAATCCAATTTAGTACTTAGAAGGTCACTGGTATCCTTGAAAAACAAAGTTTCAGTGGAATTAACAAGGAGAGTTATCAAAATCCAATGCATTAATGGCTAAAAAGTGATGAAGCAGAAACAGTCTTTGACTATAAACTGAACAAAATAATAGAATATCTTTCTCTAAGTATTTACTACCAGAAAATCAGCATTGAATTTCCTCAAAGAGAGATGAAGAAACCTGCCTCTTGCTTGGTTTTGATAAGTAAACTTGCTATATATAATTCCTTATTTTTTTGATGGTCTTGTTCAATTAAAAATGTTTTCTCTATAAAGGCATTTTCACAATTCACTTCACCCTCTCTCAAATTTCCATCTTTATGATTAAATAAAATGTGGTAAAATATCCACTAAAAGTCACTTCATCATTATCTCAGGGTAGTGGAAGAAGCCTATAGTCAAAGATACTGAAGAAAGTGAGGATGGAGGATCACTGGCAATCAAGAGTTCAAGGACAGACAGCAACATAGATAGAACCATCTCAAGAAAAACAAACATAACTTCAGCCATTTACAAATCCTTAAATTTTCAGGAATTTAAAAAAATGTTTCTATCAGTTTAATAAAATGTTCAGGAACTTTGCTTTTACCTCAAAGGACCTTACTTAGCCAGGCATAGTGGTATAGCCTAATTCCAGAAAAGGCTGAGGTGGAAGAATTGAAAGCTTGAGCTCAGTTTGCATAATTTAGCGACTCAGTTGAGATCGTGTCTCAAAATCAAAAGCAAGAGATGTTGCTCAGGGTAAGACCCTGGATAAAATCTTCAGTACAAAAATACAAAACAAAACAAAGCAAAAGCACTATTCCACTTTTTAAAAATCCAATAACTTAAAAGAATTATTATTATTAGGAATGTGTTTGAGAAATGTTTAAGATATTTAAATTTTTAAATAATGCTCTTGAAAACTTCAAGAGTTTATAAAAAAACTTAACAATTTTTATTCTATTTACGAAATAGAATGAATTTTACTACGTGTTTTTATTTCATTTCCTGTGTTAGGAATTTTTTCCTTATTCTACAGCTTCCTATTATTTACTTCCTTCAAAACTGAACTCAAATCAAACCTCTTCTAGAAATCCTGTAGTCAAATTGCTCTCCCACTCTTCTGTTATACTCATTATAACTTTATAGCACTCTAGCACTTAACACAATGTTTTGATATAGTTACTGAACAATGTCTTTATCATCTTTGTATCTCTTTTATTAAAATTTTATTTATTTATTTATTTTTTGTGTGTGGGGTACCAGGGATCAGACTCAGGTCCTTGTATTTGCGAGGCAGGCGGCAGAACCACTGAGCTAAATCCCCTGCCCATCTTTGTATCTCTTACTGAGCCTAGCCATCGTAACAGAAAAATTCATTACATTATTCTTGATTGTGAATCAAATGACTGTAAGTCAAACTACTAAGACAGTTCACATTCCAAGGACTACAAAAGACATGCTTTGAAAAAACGACAGGATTCTCAATAACTTCTCTGTCACATTCATTCAGGAAAAAGGTGTAGTACAACCATCTTCTTAGCAAAAGGTCCATAATTTTATAATAGCTACAACAGAAACAATATAAATAGGGAAAGTATCTTCAAGGGAAAAACTATATGATCAAAGAAATTTAAAAGGCAAATGAGAAGCTTGAGCAACCATTTCTAGCTCCTCCATAATACCGTCTAGGAAAATAAAACTGTCTAAATTTGACTAAACTAGTCAGTATAACAATGCCATGTATTTCAAATGGTGAAATGTTAAATCTATTCACATTAAAGAACAAGATAGGCATACAGAGTAGCATTACTTAACACTGTTTTTGGAAGTTCTATTGAAAATAAAAATAAACAAAGTGTAAATAAGGATCGAAATGTATAATTAATAATGTAAAATAGGGAGAAAAGGTCTAAAGGAATACTCGTATGGGAAGTGGGAGGGGCAGGGGACAGAAACGAAGGGAAAAGAAAAAATATGAGAAAAGGAAAAAATAGAAACAAAGTCTTTGTAAATAGGGAAAGATGGAGGGGGGTGAAGGAAGGGCAGAGGAATGGGGAAAAAATAAGAAACAAGATACATCACGTAAAGGTACAATGACGAATGTAACTGTATTTTATTGTATACCTAAAATGTACCAATAAACAAAAGAAAAAAAGAATAAAATGTTTTAAGCCAGAAGGAGAGATAATCACGTTCCTGGTAATATGACTGCATACTTACAAAAACCTTTCCTCTCAAAAAAAAAAAAAAAAAATTGGAAAAGGGATTGGATAAAGTTTGTTTACACTGACAATAAGCCAGATAAAATAAAAACAAATGAGAGGGCCAGGGATTTAGCTCAGTGGTGCCAACACCTGACTCACAAGTGCAAGGTCCTGAGTTCGATCCCCGAGTACCAAATATCAATAAAAAAATAAAGAAGAAAAAAAGAAATGAGAGCATATATTCCATTCACAATTGCTACAAAACCATGGCAATATATTAAAATTTTATTTGATACAAAAGTTAATACGAACACATGGCAAAAAAAAAAAAACAGTAGATAGGGAACTACAGTAGAAATTCTTTACACTGACCTTTTCAGAGAAAAGTTTAGTCTCTTTCAGAGAGAAAAAGATTCTTAGGACACCAAGCTCAGTCTACAAGGAAATATAATAAAAAGAACATTAAGAAAAACCTAAACTCTTCAACTGAGGGGTCAGCTAACGCAACATCCTCAAGGTTACGCACCCAAGCCTAGTTTCCATAGAAACACACACTTCTGGTACGTAACCTTCTGCGCCGGAAGTTTCCCTGCATCAGTTCCGGTCTTCCTCTCCATTTAATCGGCATACTTTTAAATTTAGGAGACAGCGTTAGCAGAAGGCGGAAGAGTTTTGGCCTGAACAAGCTGCCGTCAAGGGCGTGGCGACGCAGCCGCAATAGGAACAGTTCGCGCGCGGGTAGCTGCAGATCGGCTTCCACGATTCTCATGGCTCCGCCGGTAGTTCTTAATCTCAACAACGAGGTGAGCGCCCAGGTCGCAGAGCCCGACTGGCTCCTCTGGAGAATTGAGTATTTCCGAGGGCACGTGGTCGGGGCGGGGTCGAGGGCGGAGGAGCCGGGAGGCGACCGCAGAGTCCTCCCCACAGCCTCGCGGGCTCCCGGCGACTCCCGTCCTCGATTTACCGTCGCGTGCCTGGCTGATTGGAGCCGGAGACCCTGGGTTCCCGCACGTTTGTCTGTGAGACGCTGAAAATGTCACTTTGTCTCTGTATCCAAAGTTCTCTTAAGGTTGTGAGAAACTAGCTGAGCTAGGTGTATAGTGCCTGACCCTTAACTCTCAGTACAAGTTACCTGCTTTTTATTCGTTGTCAAAATTCAAGGAAGGGATTTGAGAATTGTAACTTTTTCTAAGAATCGCTAATTATGAATGAGTCCGTGTATGGTTAATACCTCGTTTTTTTTTCCACGTACTGCCTCATTTCTGTGCTTCCTTTTGTAACAGAACTTCAATAAAGAATTGTTTTTATTCGCTGTTTATAGTAATTCTCTAAATCGTTTTAAAATCCAGCCTTATACTTTTGCCCTCACCACCACCTCTAAGTAAATGTCACCAGGCTACTGTGTCAGCCCCTTTCCAGCATGTGCTTCTCTTCAGTGAGGCAATAGGATATCTGAAGCCTTAAAAGTAAGGATCAAACTTGAGTACCTCATTGCTGCCTACAGCAAAAGAATTTCTTCTTTACCTTCTTTAGTCTGTGTTCATCTGTTATGTTCAATTCGCTATTCACAATAAACAGTTGGGTAAGATATACCTTGTATTTTTAGTAACCTGTTGTCAGGAAGGAGCACTCTCCTATGATACAAACTAACTTATGAAGAGTGCCCCCCCATAGTTATTAGTGCAGAAAAGTTTCCAAAGAAGGCAAAGTCGAATGATTTTTGTCCTTGATCTTTGAGAATCTTTTACAGGAGTTTCAATATTCAATATTTCAAATCTTTTTGCCACTGTTATCCTAGTTCGAATTATATTGCCAAACAGAGCTCCTCTACTACTGTCTCCAAGATATTTAAATTGACTCTTCTCAGATTTTAATTTGCTCTCCATACTGCTGCTGTAGTACAGTAATCTTTTCAAAACATCTAATCATATCACTGCATTTTCAGAACCCTTTGAGCTGCTTTTGGTAAAAGCTAGTTTAAACAAGGGCAGTCCCTTCCAACTACCTTTAAACTTTTGCTCATGATATCCCTAATACCTGTTTGTTTAATTAGTACTAATATCTTAGACTACTTCTCAACTGGGTTTCAGACATATTTCAGGTCTTATAACTGCTTGAACTTATGTATACTTTTTGTCTCTTTGGAGACTAGAATCTGTTTCAGCATAATTTCCCAGTTTGTAAATCTCTATGGAGTTGTCTTTGAGGTATTTGTAATCATAGCCATGGTTTATTGTCTAGGAATTCTTGTTTCATAACTTTTATAGTTTTAGCTGTGTGTGTGTGTGTGTATACGTACACATATTTTTTTTTAAGTTGTTTTTTTTTGATACCAGGGATGGAACTCAGGACCTTGTGCTTGTAAGACAGACAGTGGAACCACTAAGCTAAGTCCCTGCA